GAGACTCGACTCGAATCTTTATTTTATTTATTCATGTGACTGTCCTTCTCGACTCTCCATTGGAATGAAATTACTGTCACTTTTTTTTTTTTTAAATAAGCATCTGTTTGTCATTTTCACCTCCTCAGGTTAAATGAATATAACTGTCAATCTTTATAACACAATTATTATCTTTTGTGTTAGTCATGTGACCGTCCTTCTCAACTCTCATTGGATTCAAATGAATATAACTGTCACTCTTTATAACATTAGTATCTTTTGTGTTAGTCATGTGACTGTCATTTTCCACTCTTTTGGATTCAAATGAAAATAACTGTCACTCTTTGTAAACAAATCTCTTTATCCCGGTGTGTTGGCTTTGTGAATTGAGCCTGTCGGGTCTCTTTAAGAGCAGGTCGCCCCGGCGCTGTCTACGGACCCGGTGACTCATCACCGTTCTTTTTTTTTTTATTGCTTATTTATAACATTTTATATGTTTCCTTTATTCTAAATATAACGGCTGGAAAACGAGGGGAATCCCGTCCCGTGAATGTTTTATGGTGGACACCGGGAAGTCCGGGGTGGGGGGGAACCCCGTGTTTTCTGCTTCCATTCTATAAACATGACATCATTCACCGCATGAACCCTTCTACCCAAGATGTGGTCGTGTGCCCGAGACAGGAAGTGACCCACAATCTGGCCACAGGGGTCACATTTGCTTTTCAGTGAAACAGGAAGTGAGCGCATCTGTCCGCTTTACAAGGTCACTCAAACATCTTACAGGTGCTAGCTGCGGCAGCCAGGATAGGTTAGCCCAGGGGGAGGCGACCTCGGCGCCCCCACCTATGCTTGAACGCCAAATCCCATGATGCCTGTGGCTTTCAAGAGCTTTGCAATGCCTCATGGGGCTTGTAGTTCCACAACGGCTGGGAGTGCCGAGGTTGGGTTGGCCCTCTGCAGTAAACTGGCATTTCCTCTAAAGAACTTCAGGACTTCTGAATGGAGAAGCAGCAGACTGATCTACGCCTCGGTCACTCTGCCTTCTTCTCCTATCAGCACGCCATGTTGTTACAGTTGCTCTATAGACGCTTCCTATCCCTGCACTCGGATTGGTTGAGATGTTAATGGTTTTTTTGGGTGACTTTATTGGGTTCACTTTCATTATCTCTCCGGAGTTACCTTCGTGGAAACATTTTTGCTTCTCGCACGCCTCGTAGGATTTCGTGTCACTGACCATTTGTCTCCTTCCCCCCCCCCCCCCGACAGGAAGTTGCGCTGGCACAGCTTCCAGAACTCGCACAGGCCGAGCCTCAGCTCTGCGTCCCTGGAGATCAACCGGCAATCCGCGGCCCAGCTCAATCTGCTGCAGAAGCTGTCCCTGCTCAGGCTCACCGCCATCATGGAGAAGTATTCCGTGCCCAGCAAGCAGGGGTGGGCGTGGTAAGCAATCCATTTCCTGTCCGCAAGCAACTGTGTCCAGGAGTCAATGCATGGGCATTGCAACCAAGGCAACTGCACTGCTTTATGCCGCTTCCCCACAGCCAGTAGGGGGGAGCGTGTCACAGAAAATTGTATTTTAGCTTCAAATTTTTTCAGTTTAATCAGAAGTAAAATTTGGAAGCAAAGATTCAAATTTTCACACATTTGAAATGCTAAGTGAAATTTGCTTTAAAAAAAATAATAAAAAAATTGTACATCCTTTTTTAATGCGGAATGTACTTTTATTTTAGTTTATTTCATTTTTTAATGTTAGTTTTTTTTGGGGGGGGATTTCCCCATTTTTTGTTTGTATTTTATTTAATTTTTTTTTTTGTATGTTTCTTTTAGTCTTTTGTTTTTTTTTCCCTATTTTTGTGTGTATTTTGTATGTGTGGCTTGTTGTTTTTTGTTTTTTTATGGGTTGCAGTTTGGAGAAGAGGAAAACCACCCGGCAGAAACCAAATGAACCTTTGCACTACTGGGACTGCACCCGCACTGCAAGGGTTAAGTGCTCATTTTGTCCTAGGGTGTAAAATATAAAAAACAAAAACTCAGCTGACCCTTGTACCCGGCCGGCTTTTCATTTTTACCTCGTAGGACCGTTCCCAAATTCATGAAGAGGAGTAAAGTCCCAGACTACAGAGGGCGAGCAGTTTTCGGCGTCCCACCAATAGTTAATGTGCAACGGACGGGTCAACCTCTGCCGCAGAGCATCCAGCAGGCCATGCGCTACATCCGCAGCCAGTGCCTGGATCAGGTACTAGTGTCCGTCTGCTCTTTTCTACTCATTGAGTGTGGGGCGTAATGCTGAACTCCGGGGAAAGCTACCCTTACCCAGCTCAGGTCATGGTTTGAGTGGTGGTAGTTGGTCAGTCCAGGTCATGGTTTGGATGGTGGTAGTTGGCACAGTCCAGGTCATGGTTTGGATAAGGGTAGTTGGTCACAGTCTAGGTCATGGTTTTGATAGGGGTAGTTGGTCACAGTCCAGTCCAGGTCATGGTTTGGATAGGGGTAGTTGGTCACAGTCTAGGTCATGGTTTGGATAGTGGTAGTTGGTCACAGTCCAGGTCATGGTTTGGATAGTGGTAGTTGGTCACAGTCCAGGTCATGGTTTGGATAGTGGTAGTTGGTCACAGTCTAGGCCATGGTTTGGATAATGGTTGTTGGTCACAGTCTGGGTCTTGTTTTGGATAGGGGTAGTTAGTCACAGTCCGGGTCTTGGTTTGGATAGGGGTAGTTGGTCACAGTCCAGGTCATGGTTTGGATAGTGGTAGTGGGTCACTGTCCAGGTCATGGTTTGGATAGGGGTAGTTGGTCACAGTCTAGGCCATGGTTTGGATAGTGGTTGTTGGTCACAGTTTGGGTCTTGTTTTGGATAGGGGTAGTTAGTCACAGTCCGGGTCTTGGTTTGGATAGGGGTAGTTGGTCACAGTCCAGGTCATGGTTTGGATAAAGGTAGTTGGTCACAGTCCAGGTCATGGTTTGTATAAAGGCAGTTGGTCACAGTCCAGGTAATAGTTTGGATGTTGGTAGTGGGTCACAGTCAACTGGGCTTGTTCTGTACTGGTGAAGATGTTTCATTTCTCATCCAAGTAGCTTTCACAGTTCTACTGAAATGTCAGAAACCTTAACCAATATTGTAACTCATCACCTTTAATTTGATCACCATGGCATGTGTCAAGGTTGATGGTTGCCCAAGAACATGGCGGGAGGTGGGAAAGTTTGGACAACCACCCTGTTCTGCTTCTATAATCCAATTGCATTGGTGCCTTTTAAGTCTGGGACAGGTAATAATCACAAGAGTTACATGAAGATAGGACATTTTTGTCATATCACCAGTGTGGAGATGTTACAATATGTGGGTGATGGGTACATATAGGTGATGGATGTTCTTGGGGGGGGGGGGGGGGGGGGGGGGGGTCC